GTTTTACGTATCGCCCTCAGACATGCAAAGCCCTTTCGCCATATTTTTGTCCACGTCCAACGACGATACCCGGTGCCGCGAAAAGGTGGACGGTCTGGGTGCTGAAGCTTCGGTGGGGAAGACGGACGACCACGACGACAATGACCCGGAGGCGGCGGCGAAACACGCCCGCCGCCTGGAGATGAGGCGGAAACGTGCTACCCACGCCGCTGAAGAGGACAGCTACGGGTGAGCTGGTTGGAGAGAAGAAAGAGAACCGTCTGCGCCTCTCCCTCTCTGTCTCTCTGTCTGTCTCTCTCTGCCCATCTGGTTTCACACCTCGTTGGTATTTCTTGAACACCCGTGACACGCAACAGTCGCGGACGCAGCTACCCCTTGCGTGCCGTGTTAGAACACTGGTAACACTTGGGGCCAGACACAAGGCACCTACTTGTAAGGTTCAACAAGAGCTCCTGTTGACGGCCGATCGTTAAGTTGTTGTCTTTCCTACACGTAGTGTGCGCAATCTAACCCCCGCCGCTCCTCTCCACCTCTTCCGCCGCATTATTCTCGCCAGGACCTTGAAGGAACATCTTCTCGCGCACTTGAAGGCGAGGCCTAAGAAGGACGACCCGGAGACGCAGAGGATCGCCAAGGAGTTCCACAGCACCGAGGCAGTCGACCTGGAGAAAAGCCTCCTCAAGAATCGCTTGGAGGGCCACTTGCGATCCCGCGCCGCCGGTGAGAGGTTAATCGATAGGGAGGGCCGATGAGGGCAGGGTGGCGTGCTCACGTTTTGCATGCCTTAAGCGGGTAGACCAGTGACCACGTGTCGTCGAGAGGGCGGAGAATTGTTTCTCCGGGACCGGTCACGGATGCCGGCGAGGGCGGGGAGAAGGGAAGAGGTGGACGGCCTTGGAGGGGCATGAGGCAGGAGGTTCTGCTTGCGTTGTCTGTTGTGAGGAAAGAAGGGCACGATGGTGGGTGGCTTTGGGGGGGGGCATGGATGGGGGAGGAGGTTCTGCTTGCGCAATTTTTTGTGTATCGCGCCACTCTGTCGCGGGATAGGTGTCGGCCTGGATGGAAGGTCACAGGTGGTGGTGTTGTAGCCATGCTCCCTGAGGCGCACCTGTGCTTAATGCACGTGCGCCCTTCCAAGTGTTATCCTCGATTCTTAGGGACGTTCCCCGCTTCGTGTACCTTGGAGAAAAAGTGAGGTAGGCAAAGACGGCATTGGCCCCATTCTGTAGCTAGAAGCGATGCTGCGCGAATTTTCTTGTGTACCAGGTAGTGTGTGTGAACATGTTCACTCGCGTTTGTAGCGATAGTCAAACACGTCCTCGAAGACGTTGTGTTGTCGCTCGACCATCTATGTGTCGGCACATGTTGACACGCCTTTGTCGCGATAGCAAAACAATGTGGTGTTGTTGTCGATCGCTCGTGGCGCCGCTGCTTGTTCCTACTTGTTGCGAAACGGTGGCCAGAGTCGGCAGTCGGACGTTCCAAGGGTGGGGAGCGGACGGCAAGGATCAAAGAGCTAGAACTCGCCATGAACCAGCGCATGCTGAAGCACAGCCTCGCGGCCAGCGGCGGGGATGAACGCAGAGGCGGCGCCGGCGTTGGGTCAGCGGCGGCGACGGCAGAGGAAGGCCTGGATATGGAGGTGACGAGAGAGGCCCTCGGGGGAAGCCTGGGCCGACGGTCTAGCTTGGAAGAGCTCACGAACCAGGGAATATTCCAGGTGCGCATGTCCATATTACGCTAGGCTTGCAAATAGAGGGAGGGGTGTGTGAAGGACTGGGCCAAGGCATCGGCTACAGCAATTCCGACCTCCGAAGCGGCTTGCCGGAGTCCAGGATTTTAACCATCTCCCCCAAGCCTAACTTGTCGCGTCACGTTTCGGGGTGCGGCGTCCGTTTGCCCGCCTCTGCAGCAACCAGTCCTAGACAACGCTTCGTGCAACGACAAGAACACACAAAATTACTGATCAGTCGCAAAATATGTGCTGCACGACACATGTGCCAAAACGGTCAGTGTGTGTTCCTTACGAAACTAACACAGGCATAGGCACCATCCATGCAACAGATACTGTAGATACGACGACGTTCTGGCCTTAGTACGAAATCACACTTTTTTTCTCTCGCGTCCTCTCGCTGCCTCGCCGCTACCGTATCTGCAAACACTTTCGCGTTTCCCCTGGCGCAACAATGTTATCAAAGAGGACGACACCGCTGCAGCATGGCCTGGAGCGACAGTTGATCGAGCAACGCCTTTCAAGATCTCTACGAAATCCCCTGCGGCCTTCCAAGAAAGACCTGGTTGAACACGGTATATACATCGACGCCACTCCCAGGGAGTTGCAGATGGAGGTAAATGCATCCCTTGGCGACAGAACATCAAGACTGTGTTCATATAAATATTTGTTCGGTTCGCAGAATTATGGTTGGAACACCGGGGGCGGGGGGGGGGCG